TGGATGTTACATTTAAAAAGTTGAATCTAAAATAAAAATTTGAAAATGAATGGCTGATGTGAAAATTATGGTTTGTTGAATAGAATTTTGTGAAGTATCACTTTTGTTATTTTTATTATCATCACATTGCCTCTGCAGTGAAATCATGGGCTTGGTTGTCAATGTGTGCTGTGTGAGTGCATTGGGAGGTCAGAAGTACTAAGTCAGTGTTACAAGGTTGTGATTGTTTCGTTTCTCATTATTTGAAGGAGCAAGAATTGTTTCAATAGTAAAATGCAAAGAAATGAGAAGTCCTTCTATAAGGATTATGGTTATGCAATATGTTTAATTTACAGGTAAAGTGTATCACTCTTAACTGACATCAAAAATCAAAAGAATCTGAATGTCTAAATGCATTTCTGTGTTTAACTTGACAGCTATTAAAAACAGGACAGAAATATTTTTGACTGAATGAATGCTCTACCTAAAAGCAACCTCACAGCCCCCTTCATGGTTTCATTCCTCAGACTGTACATAACAGGGTTGAGTGTCGGGGGTAATACTGTGTAAAAATGGAGATGATGAGGTCTAGAGCACTTGGAGAGTCTGAAGTCGGCTTGAGATATGCACAGGCGCCTGTCGACATAAAAAATGAGACCACCCAGAGGTGGGGCAGGCAAGTAGAAAAGACCTTAGACCTACCTTCAGTAGAAGGTATCTTGAGAACTGTGGAGAATATCTGGACATAAGAGAGGATGATGGCCATGAAGCAGGCAAACCCCAAAGAAGACGTAAAAGCAGCCACACCAACCACTCCAAGGTAATCATTGGAACAGGAGAGTTTGAGCAATTGTGGAACATCACAGAAGAATTGGTGGATAATTTTGCCCCTGCACAATCTCATAGAGAATGTTGTTGCTGTGTACAAAGTTCCTGCATAGTGGTCATAAGACTTCACCGTGAGAATGGTCAACTCAGCACCACCTAAGGATACGAAGAAAACCTGCAGCACACACTGAGCATAGGAAATGTATCCACTGCCAGTCAGGGAATTGTGGATAGACTGGGGGACAGTGACAGAAAGTAAGGAGATGTCAAGAAGGGCAAGGTGCCTCAGGAAGTAATACATTGGTGATTGGAACTGCTGTTTCAGTGTTGTGATGGTGATGATGATGAAGTTACCTGCCAAGCCCAGCAGATACATCACCAAGAAGAGCAAAGTTTGTGGGATCTGTACATCCTTGTTGTCAGAGAACCCCAGTAGAAGGAAGCCACTCACTGTGGTTGTGTTTATCAGAATCATTCTGTGAATAGAAATTGTGGAAGCAGCTGGAAAATAAAAAGACCTGGTAAGTGCAGTGGAAAGTCACTGAGGCACTGTTCATTAGCTCATCAACACTTACTCAGCACTTAATATTTCAATGCCTTTTTTTCCTTTTTTTGAATTTTTGTGAATTTCATACACTATTTTATTGTATTTAAATCCTCTCCACTCTGCCAGGCCCATTATTATTCCCCAATCTCTCTCTCTCTCTCTCTCTCTCTCTCTCTCTCTCTCTCTCTCTCTCATACATATATGTGAGAGAGAGTGAGAGAGAACATCCTAAGAAGTCACATTTGTGTCCCTCAAAGTCACACCCTTAAAAGGACTGACTTGACTCTCCCCCTCCCAGCACCCATTGGTACTCCTCAGGTGGTGTTTCTTACCCATTTCCTTATATCTATGCCAGGAGTTTTTCTGGCATGCGATTACATGGGACTTGCACATACTGTCACCATTGCTATGAGTTCATGTAAACAACTAATAAGCTATCTTGAGAAAAATAGTTTCCTTGTGACCTTGTGATCACCTACCACCTGGTTCTAACACTCTTCTGCCCCCTTTTATCCAAAGATATCTGCACTTTGGAGTACAGAAGTTTGATGTAGGTGTCCTATTTATAGATAAGCACTCTACATACAGTCTCTTATTCTCTGCACATAGGCCAGTTGTGATTTTCTATGTAAATCACCATCTGCTACACAAAGAGGTTTCTCTGGTGAAAGTTGATAGATGCAACAATCTATGAAAATAAACCCATTGTTTTGCTTTAAATTATCAATAGGAATTCAGTGACAGGTTGTGGATGACAGGTTTTGGAACAGTGGATTAATCATGTGTAGGTAGGAAATGATGCTACTTTAGCAGACTGAAAACACATTTTGAAGAAATATGTACCTGGAGTTAATATATAATTTTGCTCTGGACCTGAAACTGCTATTGCCTCTTAGCAAACAATATCACCAGTCATTCTAAGGAAGGACTCTGACTCTGTCATTGTGATACTAAGTATCAAAATGTGTAATTTTATTGCTTTTCAAAATATTTTGTGGCTATTACTGTAATCTAGAGTAAGAAACACTTATGCAAGGGCAATACTCACATGCTACTCTTAAGTGTCTGATTTGACTTCATTCAGGGTTTTCAGGATCAAGCAAATTCTATCTGAATCTTCTTATTTAACTGTTGGTCATAACACTGGCCTTCATCTGTAGCCTCAAATATTTACTACTGTACTACAAGAAAAGACAATTGAAAAGATAGACAGTGATTTCTTGTATTTTAAAAGTGAAGGACATTAGTAAAAATTCAGAGTACAATGGCTGTAAGGGTTTAGAATTTTAAAGTGATCTGTGTTTCAGATAAGAGAGAAATCATATTTCAGTTCATGATCTTCATTTTGATCTTTAGTTGGTTTTAAACAACCTGACATTCTCCCAAAACCAAAATGCATGCTCATTTTTAAGAACTCTCTGAGAGGTTAATAAGTCTCTAATGAAATCAACTGTTTTTGTTTGTTTGTTTGTTTGTTTTTCTTTCCATCACTGTGGTCTAGGCATGAACTGTAAAAGTGCTCTGCCAGTATTTGAAGGCTCTAAGTCATGTTAAATATCATTAGATCTTTTCCTGTGTTCACTTCCAAATTCATCTATTTACAAATGAAATCTCAGAGACTGGACTGTCTGGTTAGTGTTGCCAGACCTCACATCAGTCTCAGGTATTTTCCATCTGGTGCCCGTCTCTCCTGTGGAAACTGGTAAATAGACTTCTGTGCTGTCTCACATCTCATTTGCAAATAATGAGCTTGATACCAGCTATCCATCTTTATATCCTGACACTGATAGGTTTGTGGGGGGGGGTCTTGATTACAAAAGAAAATGACTTTTAGGGCCAAGCATGTGGCAGGAAACCCCTGATTTCAAACCAGAGTGGGTTTTACCTCAAGATCCTAATGAAAAGAAAAACTCCATTACACGAAATAGATATTTTGAAATTTGTTTTAGGTGGCACTGATGAAAGCCTCTTGCTCCAGCTCTGTGTGCTGCATTCCCCACTTCAGTCCTTCTACAATAGCCCCATGTTTGTTGACTCCTTCAAAACCTCATGTGCCACAGTAGAAAGCAGGGGAATCAGAGAGCTGTTGTTTCCCACAGTTCCCCTTTCCAAATTCTGCTTTGTAAATCTGTTTTAATTTGAAATTGATATAATGATAAAGAGAATGATTGTTCATTACAAAATTTTTAAGAATGATTTAATATCACGTTTTGAATATTCTAATTCAAAAAGAGTCACTCAGAAGACAGAAGTAAGAAAGCTGAATGACAGGATGCTATGCTTGAGCCCAACTATAACAGTTCTCATTGAGTCACACAGAAGTTCCATCTTCTTGGAATTAAGCATTTTAATGTCTACATTCATAGGAAAATTTTAAGACTTAGCATGCTTAAGCCATAGAATTGACTCTGAGTTCAAAAATGTATGTATTTAAAAAAACAGAATTACATGTAAATGTCAGCTTTAGTCTACCTCTCCTGCTGACATCTGAGATCATTTGGATAAATGCTTGAATGTTTTACGAAGCGTCCCACGTAAAAGCATGTACAGTGCTTATTTTTTTCAATTTGCTAACTTTCTCAAATGGCTGTTTATTATATTAATATGAATTAAATTCATCAGATTTTCAAACCTGGTCAATTTAGGAATTATTATAAACATTTTTGTTACTCCTACAAAGGAAATAAGATTGTAAGATTGTGTTAGAATTTCCATAAGTATCTACTTCCCTCTTGTAACCCAAGGTTGGAACACTCACCCCAGGAGTCTTGTATGGGCAGCTCTCCTGGCTGATCAGCAGCTTCTGACATTTTCCACCCACAATCACAGATTTTGAAAACTTATTATTTCCCTTGACAACAAGTGTTTGAGCTGATTTTGTGGGGGGTATCTTTGAAAGTGAAGACTGAACTTGGACATAATTCATTTTCTCTGACTCCATATCACCTGGGATGTGGACTCAGTTAAATTTCCACACAGGCTTCAGAGAGTTGGTGACCTTGGGGTTTCCTGGTCCCCAGCTCAGTGGTTCTTCAGTTCTTAGCAGACCAGATAATCACCTGGAGAGTGATCAAAACTCAGGGACCTGAGCTAATACTCAAGATTCTAGCTCATGAGGTCTCAGGTGACAACTGGAAAGCTGGGTGCCTGCCAAGCTCCCAGGCCCTTCTGCAGATCTGAGCACTGCAGGTGGGGAGCCACCGAGTAACTGAACTCAGCATTTCCAAGAGTAACAGGAAAAATGAAAATATTTATATACACACTCGAATCTCTAAACTGCCGTTTGAAAAATGTAGAAATCATAGTTTATCTTAATTTTTCAATTTTAAATGAGGGCTACACATGGAATCTCATGTTTTCAACAGCTAATTGTTCATCTAAACTGCCGTTTGAAAAATGTAGAAATCATAGTTTATCTTAATTTTTCTATTTTAAATGAGGACTACACATGGAATCTCATGTTTTCAACAGCTAATTGTTCATTATAACAACTCAGGATGACAAAAGGTTTAAGAAATACTAAAATATATCTAGAAACAATGCATAAAGTTTTGTGAAATGATATTTTTATTAGTGTTATAAAAATTTAGTAATTGAAAAAATTACCTCATAGCATTTATTAGAAGTTTTTATTTCTCTTAGCCCATTAAAAATGACTCCTGAGGAACAGATCCTCAAAGGACCTTAAGAGTAAAAATAAATTGGTTTATCTGGGCCAACTGTATGGCCTTAAACACCCAAAAGGAAAGTATAACCAAAGATTAAAGGGGCCAATATAATTTTTTAAGAGTCCATATGTATAGCTAAAGGCTACATAACAAGCAACAATGCCAGATAGGAGATACCTTCTTTTGAGTTGTTAGCCAGAGTGGCCAAAGGGACTCCCAGATAGTAACCCAGCATAGAACTGGGAAAGTGAACAGCAGACCCCAATCTTATCTAAAGGCATGTTGACAACTGATTGCTCTAGATGAGGAACAGCTGACCTTCTAAAACGAAGACCTCTAGATAGGCTGACTAGATTCCCTGGATGGACAAGTACTGAGGAATGGCTGGGGGTGCCAACACCACAGCAGACAGTAGCAGGGAAGACAGAGTAAAAGGGCTTTAGTGGGGGGAGGCAGGCTATGGGAGAGTGCCATCTGGGAAGTGGGTATATAGATGAATAAGATTGTTTGGGATGTTCTGTGTGATATAAACACACAGAAGTTTAAAAATGAGTTATAATTGGGGAGGAAGCATAAAAATATGCATCATGTGAAGTATTAAAGGTGATAAACATCACCATTGAAATCTACCCAATGACTTTATATCCACACACAGGTGCCAAGGAGCCAAGTGCAACGGACCATGACTAGTAGTAATCAGATACATAGAGATTAGAGACACATGCGCTAACATCTAAATGCTATTAATAAGTATTTCTGTAAGAAATGGTATATTTTGAAATGAAATGGAGATCTTTTATAAAGGTTAAAAACTCATTCAATTTTATGTCTATGGGGCTTATACTGAGTTCAATATTGTATAACTTTATTAATTCAACTGTGAACCTAGAAACTTACAGCTACTTGTGAAATACTCTTGGTCTGGAGTGTGTTACTGAATATGTTAAAGTTGTAATGAAATGCTTCTTCTAATCATGTAGTTATTAAAAATTCAAAAAAGACATTATTTTCCAGTAATAACCATATGACTATATAGTTATAGAATTTTATTAAAAAATCACTCCAATATTTCATCTGACTATATGATGATATAGTTAGTACATGTAAAGGCCATATGTGTTTTGCTCAGAATACACCATTTTATATGAAATTTGACTTACTCAGAATCTTTAAAAATATATTTTGAATGTCTGTTTCAAACAATACCCATTTTCAGTTTTTCTTCATTACAGAAAATTGGTGAGTTTTTAAGAGTTATTT